ATCTCAGTTCTCGATCGCGGTCCTTTTCTTTTCATTTAGATGGTAATCGTCATTCGATAAACATTTTTGACATTGCCTCCTAAATAATTAAATAAACGCGCTCGACGCGCTTAACAGAGAAACGTTTAATCAGATGTTTGGTATTTTTTGCTGCAAAATTCGTCAACAGAACCTTATTAAGGTTCTTGCGCGGTCACGTCGGACACCCGCTGCTACATTTAAACCGGCAGATGTTCAGGTAGACGCCAAAACGAGAAATCTCTCTCACTCACCGCCAAATCTAAACTCACAACATACGTCCAACTACGCGATTACGAATAAACTATCATTCTGAATCGTTATATTACTAAAAACTATATTAATAAAAACTCTGATATGGACGAAACGAACAGAAAAAGAAATCTTGAAGAAAGAACCTAGCTGTCTTTTTTAATTTTACTGGAACCATATTAAATAAGGCATTATTATATGTATAATATCGAATATTAACAACACATTTGTTAAAATTATATGGAAAGATCGGTCGCTTGACATGTGGAACATACAAACATGCGTAAGCTCCCGAAATCCGTCAATTTCGTTTGTTCCTTGGCTTCGCCGTAGTCGGGTAAAAACGCAGCTGAGATAAATCTCGAAATTGCATTCTCCAAGGCCACCTGCTCGCTGCGCACACGCATCCCGACGCACGCGCCGACTCATTCAGAATCGAGCCAGTCTGCCACCAGAGCCGATCGAGAGCAAACGCGATACGGTGTAACGAAATAAAACCGCGATAATATTGTGCTGTGTTAACTTACAATCGGATTTCTTGTGCCGCGGCCCGACGAGTTTCTTTCTATTTTGAGGTAGTATTTAGGTATTTTAATTAATTTCATAAATTATAGCACCATTGTTCGGCCCTTCTTTATTAGGAGTCCTTATCGTGTCCTGTATTCATTTCGACGTTCAATTATTATCATTGTCTACGTCATTTAATGATAATAATTACGATTAAAAAACATTATTTCAAAGACACATTATGAGATAAAATGCTTCAATATTAATTATGTAGAGATAATTTTTTTACAAGAAAACTTTGTAGTTGAACTTTTATTATATACTAAGTTCGACTATAAAGTTAACTTAAAGTAACTTTTTCCGTTAACAATAATTCTAATAATCGAAAAATTGCAACAATCTCAGTGAAAACTCTCTCAGTGGCTCTCGCGCTTAGTACCTACCTTACCTACCTTCCTAGGTCCTAAAAATATGATGAAAAATAAGTTAGTTCCTAATTTATTATTATTACAAATATCTACTTATATCTACGCTTCTCTTACAATTTATTAGGCCAATCAACTACCTAATTGTAAACTATTAACCGTTTACTAATTATATATTAGTAAATTGCACTACATATGGGTTTTTACTTGTAAAATGTCATCAATGGCACAAAGTGAGCATTCCGTAGGCACTAAAGCTTCCAGATTATTTTAGTTAGGCTATTTCAGGAAATATCTGCCCCGGGGGGACCGACAAACTCGATGATATAATAGAATGTGAGCTAAGTTATCTTTGTAAAGAATTCGTTATCCAGACTAAAGATTTAGAAAACCACAATTTTTTTATTGACTAATAATATATTGGCTAAATATGTTAATATTTCGCTAATAAATTAAGTTAGTTTGTCTGTAAAATTTATAACAACACAAGAGTCATATAAAGACTAGCTCGCAATAATGAAAAAAATCATCTCTTAAATAAATATTTATCGTAAATGAAAAAAATTCTAATCTTTACTAATATCTAAAGCTGAAGAGTTTGTTTGTTTGAACGCGCTAATCTCAGGAACCACTGGTGGGAATTGAAAAAAAAAAAATTAGTTTAAAACATGTATAAGATGAATAGGAGTTTTGCAAAATTAAATTTTGATGACCAAAATAATTATTCTATGCGGACAAAATCGCGGACACAGCTAGTGAATTTATAATTTTTCCCGGAACATGTTGGACTTCGTATGGACATTTTGTTTAGATGTTATACGGATGGGGTGTTTTACCCTATGCCCCACGCTTGCCTGACCTCCCTTATCATCATTATAAGAGAATTAACGTAACTTAAAATATTTATAGTAATTCTGACAATTCTTCCTTATTCTGTGATTCTAGAGTATTTAGCGCTAAACGACAACATATATCTCATTTAAATACGTGCCTATCGAGATTATCTTCAAACAGGCGATGGTTTTTATTACAATAAAGAAATAATAATAAAAATTTCACAGCGATAACGTTTCTTTGGAAGTCATTTCCTCGCCCTATCAGTAAATTACTATCGTATTATTCTTCTGTATCGACGCCTTTTTGGCTGTCCAGTGTTTGAATAGTACAGTCAAAATTGTTGTGTTTAAAAAATTGTTTTATCTTTAAATGTTTTGTGTTTTTCAAGTTTTGGCGCTTGTTTGAAAATCTACAAATAAAAACTTTTCACACAATAAATAAAAAATAATCTGTTGCACCTTTTATAGGTAGGTAAGTTGTATTTATTTATTTTATTATTGTGCAATAGATATAAGAATAATGCAAGCGGGACTAATTAAACCATAGAAAGGGTAAAAAAAGGTGAGAAGAAGTGTAGGTTCAGCGAACAAAATACAAGAGTTAAGTTACAATTTCTTATACTACCATTGATAAATAAGGCTACACAACGATAACAGATAACTTTAAAAGTAGATAGATGTAAGTACTGTTAACTAAATACTGTCTTTAGTTTACGCGAGTAGTACACATTTAAATAAAACATTTAACGTCTCCCCATGACCACGGCTGCTGCAAAGCATCCGAAACGTCGGGCCGAAGTTAAAAATTGATTTTCAAATAAGTTTAACTAATATATCGCGTTTTAAACCGTTAAACTGTTTTATTTAAATTATTAACTAAATTATTTATGACCACTGAACCTACTTGAATCATGAAAACAGTTGACATGTGAATGTAGCGCTTAGACAACTGTCCACAGAAAAGGCTCAGCTAATAATACTGCTACTTAGCTACAAAAAAAATGCGAAACTAAAATACTATACATATCTGCCCCAAGAGCTATACTGATTAACGTGGCCCACTCACCCGTACGGTTCGCAAAAACAATTGTGAACTGAATATTTTTGTAAGCAGAGTATGTATTGATCGATGGACCGTGTTATGAAAATGCATTTTTTGTGATAATAGCATTAAGATTCTATTTTTCGTATACTGAACATATTATTAATTATATTGAGTATTATTTTCTCCTTATTTTAATTCATCCAACTTCACTCGCAATTATTATATTTATGAACGCGCCATGCAAATGTAAAATTTCTTTCGAGTTAGATACTATAGAAATTGTGAGCTCCGTCATGTCAATATTTGTTGAGAGTCTCAAAGAGGGCCCGGTTTGTTTGCTGACGTTACCGAGCGGAAGTCCCCGCGTTACGCAAATGCCGGAATACGCGCCTTTGTTTCACTTGTCTGAAACGAATAACGATTGCAAACCCATGCTGTTCGCCAGCTGATATTGTACTATTTTTTTTAAAGACCATTGTTGAAGCGGTGTTTTAATACAAAAATTATACTTTTTAAAGTAATAAAATAACTGCTATGTCTGCAAGAATGTAAGAATCGTAAATATTCAAGTGTTCAAGATAATACTTTATCCAATTTCCCTTACAATAATCCTATTTCAAGCTACAAAAGATTAAAAACCCTATCTTATTACGTCTAGTGTTTGTAGTATGAAAATGATGCAAATTTATCTTTCCACGATTCTGTCATACGTAAGCAAATACATACGAAACAGTTTTTGTTTGTCGTTCTATTACTCCGTACTTAATGGACCTGCTAACTTAGGCAAATAATATTCATATATTCAATTATGTACTCAGTTTTAACACAAACAATGTATTTGAGCTTACAATTAATAACGTTATTTATGGACAAGTGACGACCAATTTCTTTGTAATATTTGATGATTAATGTAGCAAGGCCTTTATTTAAGATTCTGCGTAAGCCTTCATTCAATGACTGTATTTAAGAATTCTGCTTTGGCCAATTCTGACGTATTTATGATAATACATATAAAATGTTGAATTAAAAACTCCATATTTTATAAACTACTAAGGAAACGAAATATTTGTTAACTGCTTAAGAATACATTTTTAAATTCATATTAATAGCCGTTATCGTACTTGAACTATCGGTAATTAATTAACGATGAAATGCCTTGGAGTTTGCAATTTATTTTCGACCTTGCCTAGTTTACTTTTTAAAAAATAATTACGGATTATTTATCGAATTTTAAATATCGGCATGAGCATAGCTCTTCGTTTCGCAATTGATTGATGGGTAATTAAAATAGCTCTAGCCTAAGTATATATAAAAAACTAAAATCAAACGCTAAGGCTAAATTGCCCTCTAGTACCAATAAACAAACAAACAATGTAATGATCGGCTCGCTCGATTAGGTCTGCAAGTGAAGCGTGGTCCCGTCACGTAAGCGACTTTCGACGCTTAACCGTGATTAAAAATTACCTCAGAAATAGCGAAGCGATTTCCTTATACGAACAATAATGAATGATACGCGTAAAGAAAGTTAAGCATTTGTCTTTTCTACATTTGTTCGTACAAGCTGGCATCTAATATACAATATTTACAGATTAAATCCAACGGGTCGATGTATTATGAAAGTTTTTCGGGAGTTATGGCACAACAAATGAAAATCTATTAAAATAAAGGAAAAAAATCTATGACATGGGCGGGCCTTGATGGGGCGTCCACAACATTCCGTGTTCCCACCAATTTATGTAATACTAACATGTACAATAATTAAGTTTTCAAACACTAACAATATACATATTGATAAATGAGAACACACATACCAAATTCACAATTTATTTTCAATACTTTTTTTGCACATTTGTCTTTAATTTTAATTAGCGCTATTCGTACCCAATCAACAAACAATGTTAATTATAAGAAAAATAGTTATCGCTTTACACTATGAAGAAGATCCGGAACATCACAGTTTGCCGACAATAGTGATTTCTGCCTCGTGCATAGTTTCTGATCAATTTGCGCGAATCCATCTCGCGGGCGCAATTTTTCGTCACGCATAAGAATCCCGGCGTGACGAGCGTCGACCTCTGGCGATTTGTTTTGGTTTTGAGAGGTGATTAATAGGAATTTCATCAGCGCTCATTTTCCAGCCGCGGGATGAGTAACTAGAGTCTCACATAACTGGCTATCGTTATACAATTTAAAGAAAAAATGTTCATATATTCCACGCGGATGAAATGCCTAGTTCCATATAAGACTGGTTCTTTTTTATTTTTTTAATGTTATCCATTCTAAGAATCCAGGAATCCTATGTCGTTCCAACATTTTTTTTTTTCAAGTGTATAAAGATGTCTCATCACAGTAGTAAAAGCTAGTAATTTTAGCACTAAGAAATAAATACCGATAACGTTGGTCAATTTTGCCTCTATGCACGTCTACTTGTGGTTGTTTGAAGCACCCATTAGGCAATATTGTCTATTTACAATACGTTCATATCAATAGTAATTCAATAACAATGAAGCCAAGGTCATCCGCCGTTTACTCTTCGACATCTCAATTGATTTAAATTTGACAGATTTAGTACACGCGTAATTATATTAATTGTGTTCTTGCTTATTGTACGGAACCAGTTTTTAAGGCGTAAGCTTAGAGGAACCTTTTTTAAAATCACTAAAGTTGAAGTTAAATCTACTACGCTAGATACATTAAGGACATTGCTGCAAAGCATCCGAAACGTAGGGCCGTAGTTAAAATAAATTGTAAGTTAACTAATTCATTTGGCGTTACAGACTGTTAAAAGTGTTTTATTTAAATGTGTGACTCGCGTAAACTACAGACTCTCAGTCAGGATTGTTAAATGTCCCGAAACGCATATGTACTAACCTACGCGTAAAAAACCAATTACAATCAAATAAGTTTGATATAGATTTAATTAAATCTCGTTTTTTTTCCCTCTTTTTACATACATCATCAATACAACGTAAACAAAACAACGGCCATCCCAATGATATATAAAGATAGTTAAACTTAACGAATATTTCTCAAAACACTAAAATCGAAATGTTAAATGACGCGACGTCCTTGATTCGCCGTTCTTTCCAGGAACCGAGAGCGTCTCCAATCTAGACATTTTATAGTCTAGACCGAGAAAATCAAATAAGATGTGATTTAACGCTGTTAATTGCAAAATTACAACGATTTTCCTCGGTTACCTAACGAGTTAATCACGACGAATGTTGAATAACAATATTAATTAACTTTCACGACTAGGCATTAAAAATCTATTGCTAATCTATCCTTTAGTCCAATTATCACGTTTCCACGAAATTGGTCCTTCAACTAAATCTTAATTAGATACAATTGTAATTATCATTAGGAAACAGTGATTGCGTTGTGTCTTTTAAATTACATACTTCTCTATTGCTAACTCTTGGAAATGTTTGTATCAGAATAATTAATGTACTTTACATTATAGCTGTATGTCTTGTAAACGATCTCAGACGAAAATTTAATATGTTTCCGAAATTAGCGTTGTACAGATAATTAAAACGTTTAATATTCTCTACAAAAGTTAGGAAACACTGTGCGTTTTTTTGACTGTTCTTTTTTATGTTCATCTAAATAGGGAAGTACAATATAAATTAGCTAAGCGCTCGCGCAAGAATTATAATATTTTTGGGTTTAAATTTTTTCGAAGTCACGCCATTTTATTTTGATTACCTTAAATTAATAACGAGTAAGAATCACAGAGAATTAAAATAGTTTGTATTGTTTACCACGATGGAATCCTTTCAACAACTCTTACGTTTACTCAAAAATTTCGTTGTTACAGAACCAGTAATGTCCACGTAGTGACACAAAAACAAGATGGCAGCCGTCGGCGCAGTCCTCTTGGAGTCCAGGCCCTTCCGGCCTTTCAAGTCCTCCGAGGAGTACTTGTATGCCATGAAGGAGGACCTGGCGGAATGGTTGACCGTGCTCTATCCTGAGCTCAGAATTAACGCTGACAACTTCTTGGATAGATTGGACACGGGCGTCGCCTTGTGCAGGGTGAGTGCTTTCGATTATGGTTTCAAGATTACCTATAATGTATATCCTATAGATTTTTACATATATTATGGTCTAGTGTATGTTACACTATGTTTCTTAATATGTATTATTCTGAAAACATTGTTCCGAAATTCTTGGGGGAACGAACATTAGTAGTGACTTAAGTGACCGAAGTTAAATTTATGGATTTATTATTTACATTATTGGATCAGTTAATTATAGTACATTACAGTAATTTCCTAATAAGTCTGCAAAAAACAGGTAAATGTCGTAGTGATTCAGCATTACTGGAGGATAATTCTAACGTCATTTTACTGCGATTAATTCCATGGAGTTATATTTTATGTGTGACTAATTTATTTATGTAATCGTTAATAATACGCTTCAGTCAGTGGTCAGTCTGTAGATTATTTTTAATTATAAATATAAGTCCGTATAATAGAAGGAAATGGTCAAATTCCTTCAAACGATTCCGTCAGTCTTATTTTTAAACGGACCACGATAATGTTTTTATAATTGCCAAAACTTTAAATTCAGTCATTAAAATCTACTACAAATTGAAGATAAGATGATTAAAACGTACTACATATTTGGTCACTAATAAGACTGTTTTCGCTAATTGATTGCAAGGCAATTTACGTTTTGGAGTAAGCAAAACAAGACAAAACGTACAATGACTTAATCGGATTTATTATATAAAGAAGGCGGCGTTTGTTTATAAAATCAAATATCATCTAACTTCCGTCGAGCGACGGTAAAAATAGCACGTGCGCGCCACATCCGTTTTGAACCCTGATCGACTCTTGCGCCACTCGGCATTGAGTGAATTAATTAATATTAAATTATTTACACTCAAGATTAACTCTAGTTTCGTAATGAATCGTGACATTTCTTAGACCTATCGTTATCGGGCGTGTCAACATAATGTTTATCTAATTGTGCAAAGGTCACGCTATCGGTAGGTCCCTTCTCGTTTGTACGAAAAATGTGTTCACGACCATTGTTTTTAATTACAAATCATTATTTGCGTCGAAGTAAAAGTAACGCGGTACTATGATAAATATTTTTATTAACTTATGCGTTAAGTCCACCACTTTAGAAATGTTGAGATAAATACTTTTGTATTGTTTTTATTAATCTGCTGCTAATATTACTGCTATATATATAAGCTATGGGTTCAAATCCCATCCCGTCGAAAATAATAAAATGTTTCAAAATCTACGTTCTTCTCTTTTGTTTTAAATCAATATTTGATATTAAACAGTCTATGAGTCCTTAAACTAAACTAAAAAACAAAAAAGTAAATACAAAATATTACGCGCTTGTGTTATCGCCTTTTTATCGAAAGGGGCCAATAAAATATCGATAGTTTGCTGATAAAGCGATAACACTTTACATCAGTTGAATACAAAATCATGTCTTTTATCGGGGTATTAGGGAAGTATATTTCGTAAATACATTAGTGAAATCCCGTATTTCCTATTTGGGGCATATTGTCCGGTAATTTGAAATTAGGACCTCTAGCGCTTAACCATTCCGGCACCTTTATAAGCACATACGTGTGCTTCAAAAAGTAATTTTATAATGAGGATGAAATAAACCTAAGTGTTTGTTTTACAAAGAATTATCGTCACGCAAACAATCTAAATTGCATCAAAAACGTTAAACAAGAAAAGTTTACCATAGAACTCGTAATTGAGTAAAATAGAGTTTATTTTTAGCGAACTATCTTACAGGTATTTATTAAGGTGGTCCGATTTTAGTATAAAAAGCCTTCTTAAGAGCTATAATTTAAATCACTCAACAAAATAAAAATGCCCCAGTTTTATTATTGTCTATTAATTGGGTGTGGCTATTTGTGGCCATTTCTGTCTCTTTCTTTCTTCCTTTCGGCATTTATAATCAATCAATGCTTGCAAAACTTCCTTCCCATCCCTACAAACATTTTACTTGCTCAGTCTCTCTTACTTCCCATCCTGGACTATGCTGATGTGTTTCATTCACTGATTTAACTGAACTCCAGCTTGATAAGCTTGAGCGGGTTCAGAATACGTGTATCCGTTTCATTTTTGGCCTTCGCAAATACGATTATGTTTCTGAATTTCGTAGAAAGCTTAATTGTCTCCTATCCGAACTCGTCGGAATTCCCATCTTCTTCATCTCCTCTACCGTATCTACGTATATAGTTTTACCTTTCCAACTCTTAAGTTATTCTCTCCCCCACTATCTCTGTGCTATGTATTCTTTTACTGTGTACCCTTTCTTTTGCTTGTTATTCCTTACACCTACCCACTTAATAAGTCTTTTTCTTTTCTCCTGTACTTCAGGTTGCTTGAAAGAGATCGCTGCTTAGCGATAAGGCCGCCTTTTATTTATAAGTTAGTACGTAATAAGTTTTACTTTTTGTATGTGCAGTATGGGATATAAATAATAAAGTTATAATAATAATACTTAGTGAAGATACAAATAATAATTCTAAAATCTAGTGTAACCCATCCTGGTGTCTTCAAAAATCTATAGTCCTATGATTAACGTCGGAAACAAGATACGTAGTGTATTTCCTTGTTAGATAGTTATTTAGGTGTGTATGAGTAAAAGTTTATTCTGAGTCACTTTCTACAAATGGTACTGATTCATTTCTATGGGCTGTAAAATACCCCGGGAATTTGTAACAAAGTAAATATGAATAACGCATGTTAGTGTTACTTCAATATAGTATAACTCCGTATGGATGGGCTACTTCACCTTCTTAAAGTTAACATAATTAAAAATTGTCATGTAACTGTTATATTAATTTAGTCCAATTAGTTCCTATTGAAAATACTACTGTGGCTTATCCTGCGCGTCAGTTCGCCGAAAACGTTAAACAGCAAGTGATGTAACAAAGCCTTGTCGATGTTGTAAGTAGTCATTAGCGATTGTCGTAACGTGTAACGTGCAGTCGTCGCATTGTCTATTTTTACCGAATTTTCACTAAATGGGTCAAGACTCAATGTTCTTCACTGCGACTTGACTCTTTACAACTAGTCGTTTCGAGTTTTCTTCAATTGTTACATAATCAGTATTAATTAGAAAAAGGCTTAACAGCTAAATCTCAACACGCAATGCGCAATTTAGACGTAGTAAAGCACTTTAACGGTTTAAAACGCGATATATATTCGTTAAACTTATTTGAAAATTATTTTAACTTCGGCCCGACGTTTCGAAACATTCGAATTTATTACACTTACATATCTATATATTTATTTTGCTTCGGTTTCGTCCTTGGTAAGAATAAATTAGCGAAGGCGGAGGCGCCGGCGCAGGTGTCTGCGAATACAGCTTGTCTCTTATATTGCGGTATATATTTCACATACAAAAAGCCTATAATACCAAGTCAACGTTGAGAGTGACGAAATAATAAAATGCCTAAACATATAATTTAAGGCTTTGGTTATTTGATTTACTATGTTATGGTTGAAATTAGGCGTGAGTTGCATATATTAATAAGTTGAGAAAATTTGAAAATAGCTCAATTGGTTAGAGCAACAGCACGGAACGTTGTGGATACCCTTTCATGTCCCGTTTGTGTCGTATTTTTTTTTAAAGCTATAATCAATTTCAAATTTTCGTCTAACGTTATTTTTATCATTTAAAATTACTTATTAGTCGCGAGTTACTTCCCAAACCGCAGTTTAGTTATTGAATGGCGTTTGAGCTGAGCTCAATACGGTGAATTGAAATGCAAGCCGCGCGTCTAAGCAGCTAGGCGTAACGTCACGTTTCAATGTTTCGCGAAACCGTCCCCATCCTACTGAGCTGGATTATCGGTTTGTAGTGATGCGCGATTGACGCAATGGCGGTGTACATCAGCATGGATTACGTGTGCTCGAGGATTTTTCGGGTAGCTAAATGTGTTTACTTGCTCGGGCTATCTTCTAAAGGTTGTGTTAAGCTGTAAAAAAGGTCAAACCAGGATAGATTTCATAGGGTATCTACATAAATACGGTCAATAATAGTTCAAAAGCACACGCACATAAATCAACAATGATTTGGAAGTACAAAATAAAAACTGTTAACGGTTTAACGTTTAGCACATCACTACGCGTCACCTGAATTCAGTTCCCACGAGGAAACGATTAGAATTTTAAGCATGGCGATGTTAGGAAACCTGCAAAAATTATTTAGAATCGATATAATGGCCGCATTGTTGTTGTAATTTATCGACCGGTTTTGTGAAGGACCAAAAACAGAAACAGTTGTATATGAATCTTTGTCAACGGTTTGTCAATATTTTAGATTGTCTTTTCACCATCGTGTTTAATCTATCGATTATATGTATAATACAATACAATAATGTAACATTTATATTATTATCAACTGAATATTAATTTTGATGAAAAAGAAAACACGCTTTATCTAAGCGTGTTTCCCTACCTTTCGACACCGTATTTATATATGAAAGAGCTCCTATATAAAATGCTGGCATGCTGTTACCATATCAAAGGTAAAAAGAAGTTCACAAGTATGTTTATTTATATCGAATGAATAACGACCTCTGCGTGCGCGCATATCCGCGCGGAAATCGACAGCTTTCGGAATGTCAACTCGATCACCTTTGTAGGTCGACGATCAAATTCACGCGTAATCAGTCACTGTACGACTTTTCATGTCGTCTCGATTATTTTTATTTCGGATAAAAATATTCCATGCAACTTTTAAACGGGTCGACAACACATCACTTTTTAACGTGGCCGCCTGGTTGGAAGCATGGCTCAATGGTAAATTGTATCGCGTTAATTGTAAGATCTAATCCTTGGAGGGAAACAAACAAAAGGTTTTTTGAACGCACTGGGAACATACAAGCATAATTGGTTTAATTTATTTCAAACAAACCTCATCCACGAATGAATATGTCGGTTGTCTAATGTCAAATGTCGGTTTTCTGGATATAATTGACAATGGTGGCTTTTTAACTTGAATTTTTTGTCTGTGACACGTCTTGTCAGTGTCACAATCCG